CGATTGCTGCAGCAGACAATGCCATCACGCGGCGGTTATTACTGCCTCAGCCAAACCATCCACACTTAACTCCGCAATCAGTGCTGTTTCCGCCCCGGAGTTAATTAACGAAACCCTCTGCCCTGTCAAAGTGTCTCCAACAAGGACTTCCCCTACTCGGTTCTGCTTATGGCTGGACCAGGGCTCCTCAGCAGTGACCTCCCTGTGGGTCCTGGGCACCTCCAGAGGCTGGGCTTCTCCCATCGGGGAGGAGTGGGATCTGCTGGGATAATCCCAGCCCGTGGAGGTCCCAGGCTGACCCCATGGAGAAGCTGGACCCACGCCTGGAGGGGGCATGGGGAGGAGATGATTTCAGCGCTGCTCAATCATTTCCTGCTGGTTGAGATGCAGCTCGTGGCCACAGATAAACATCTCCCCTCTGAGGCCACCCGGCTTTCACTGCAGGACAAAAGGGCTGACTGAAAAGTTAAAATAGCTTTCTCCGCTGGCTGTTTATGTCACTTTGGATGTGGCTTTTTCCCTTTCCGTCCCTCCCATTCACCTCTCCCTCCTCTGGCTGCTCTCCCAGTCTGCTTTCCCAGCGCCATTTGCTCAGGCCAAGAACAGCTCCCCTGAGCCATACACAGGGCAGGCAGGGTAGGAGGCTGCAGCCGGGCTCATGAATGGATCTTTCCTTGAATTGCCAGTATTTCATGGAAAAGCCATTTTTGGGAAAGGCTGAAGTCAAGCCCCTGGGGAGTGCGTGTCTGGTGGCCAGACCCAGGCCCCCTCTGGGGGTCAGCAGCGGTGAGGGGGGTTCAGCTGCAGCAGCTCCAGGTGTCCCAAATCTGGGTTATACATTGAAAGCTTTTATATTTCACAAAACTCAATTAATTAGCACACTGTACTCATGATTTCACAATAAGCTTCTGCTTGCTACTCATATTCTCACTTTGAATTAAAGGTGTAGCACATCTGTAAATCACTGCGTGTGCTCATCCAGGAGGCCTGTAGCTTGAGATGTGGAGGTGTGGTTTGCACATTGCCATGAGATAAGTTCATTTAAAGGACACATACTTTTTATTTTCAACGCTTTGTAGCAACCAGCAACTTTGCAGTTTTAAAGGAATGCCCCAATTTTCCCAAGTTAGGTTCCTTTCTTTGATTGCCCAAGGGCTTTTCTTCCTTGGCAACATCTTGTCTGCTTTGCCTTCATCACAGCTGGAACGTGCAACCAAGACTGTGTGCCACCTCCCATCCCAGCACAGCCCAGTCCCATGTGCCACATGTCCTGCCACCTCCTTCAGTCCCCTAGCAGTCCTCACTTCTCCACAGTACGTGCTACCACCAATAAAACCAATATTAAATGAACTCCAGAGAAGCAGCGGGAGCTGCTGAGAAGTGCTGAGAGGACTTGTGTTTTTCAGTAGAGAAATCCAAGCGCTGACTTCTCTGCAACTGGCCTGCACACAGAAGAGTTGTCTCCTTCATCACACCCTCAGAGGGACACCATTGGTTATTTCTGGTCCTTTTCTAAAACAGAAAATAAGTAGGTGTGCAATGTGGAGAGTCATAGAATCGTGGAACCATAGAATGGTTAGAGTTGGAAGGGACCTTAAAGCCCACCCAGTGCCACCCCCTGCCCTGGGCAGGGACACCTCCCACCACACCAGGTTGCTCCAAGCCCCCTCCAACCTGCCCTTGAACCCCTCCAGGGATGGGGCAGCCACAGCTTCTCTGGCCAACCTGGGCCAGGCTCTCACCACCCTCCCACCAAACAAGTTCTTCCCCACATCTCAGCTCCATCTCCCCTCTTGCAGGGTCAAACCCTTCCCCCTCCTCCTGGGGCTCCCCTCCCTGATCCAGAGTCCCTCCCCAGCTTTCCTGGAGCCCCTTGAGGGACTGGAAGGGGCTGCAAGGTCTCCCCGGAGCCTTCTCTTCTCCAGGCTGAACCCCCCCAACTCTCTCAGCCCCCCCTCCCAGCAGATGGGCTCCAGCACTCCCAGCATCTCTGGGGCCTCCTCTGGCCCCGCTCCAACAGCTCCATGTCCTTCTGCTGTTGGTGGCCCCAGAGCTGGAGGCAGCACTGGGGGGGTCTCCCCAGAGCGGAGCAGAGGGGCAGAATCCCCCCCATCCATCCCTCTCCCTGCTGGCCACGGGGCTGGGGATGCAGCCCAGGGTGCGGGGGGTTTCTGGGCTCCAGCGCAGGTTGCCGGGGTGTGTGGAGCTTCTCCTCCACCGACACCCCCGAGTCCTTCTCCCCAGCCTGGATTTGTACCTGGGGTTGCCATGACCCCGCGCAGGCCCTTGCCCTGGCTGAGCCCCCATGCCTTCCCCAGGGCCCACCCCTCCAGCCCCTCCGGGCCCCTCAGGATGCCCCCCCCTCCCTCCGGCCTGTCGGTGTCTCCTCCCAGGGCCCCGGTGGTGCCACACAGGACGCTGACTCACGCTTCCCACCATTGTACAGTCACTCCTGCTCCCCCCCGGCCCGTCCCCGGACTGTCCCCGGCCCTGGCGGGATTTTCCCGGGCGGTGCAGGTGA